CCCTCTCCCTCTCCCTCTCCTCTGTTAGTCCTGAGTAAGCCTCGCTGGAGCCAGAGGGAAGGCCTTCTCAGACCTGGTCAAAGAAAAAGGTAAATTGAGTTTGTGTGTTTATTTTGATCTCACTAGTTAACTTCTATGCTTCGAACCTCTTGTATGAAGCCAGTGTGCTGGTCGCACGGTGGAGAGCATCATCCTGGAGGAGGGCAAGGAGGTCCTGCTAGGTGAAGTGGCCAGACTGGACATTCCTACACCACCTTTGTCAAGGTGCTCCAGACAAGGACGGCTGCTATGCCCTCTATGACGTGAGCCAGGAGACCCAGGAGAGCAAGAAGGAGGACCTGGTATTTATCTTCTGGGCCTCTGAATCTGCACCCCTTAAGAGCAAACTGATCTATGCCAGGTCCAAGGACGTCATCAAGAAGAAGCTGACAGGGATCAAGTACAAATTACATGCAAACTGCTATGAGGAGGTCAAGAACCGCTGCACCCTGGCTGAAAAACTGGGGGGCAATGCTGTCATCTCTCTGGAGGGCAAGCCTTTGTGAGCCCCCTCCAGCCCCCTGCCTGGAGCATCTGGCAGCCCCAGACCTGCTCTAGGTTGCAGGCTGCCCCCTTCCTGCCAGACCGGAGGGGCTGGGGGATCCCAGCAGAGGGAGGGCATTCCCTTCACCCCAGTTGCCAAACAGCCCCCACCCCCACCCCCTGAACCTTCCTCCTCCCTCCATCCCTGACGGTTCTGGCCTTCCCAAACTGCTTTTGATCTTCTATTCCTCTTGGGTTGAAACAGACCAAGTCTTCCCCCAGGCACCCAGTTTGGGAGAAGCTGTATTTTTTTTAAGGATACCCCTATTTCCCTCCTGTTTCTCCCCCATCCCATGCTGCCAACTTCTAAAGACAGTAGTGACTCTGTGCTTGTCTGTTTAGTTCTGTGTATAAATGGAATATTGTGGAGATGATCCCTCCCTGTGCCAGGTGGTTCCCCTCCCTTTTCTCTTGGTCTTGACCATTTATGGAAGCAGGACCAGTAAGGGACCTTCAATTAAAAAATTTTAAAAAAAATTAAAAAAAGAGAAAAATGCAGAGAGTTAGAGATTCAGCCATAGCCATGTGAGCAGTGGCTGGAGGGGCTCCCAGCCTTCAGAGGACCTTAGAGGTGCTAGATGATCACAGTCACTTTCTAGGCCTCATCAGCTATTTAACTGACCACGGAGAAAGGAGCTGTGTTACAGGAAGTAATAAATATTGCCTTGCTGTCAACTCTGGTTGGGAAACCGGATTAATCCCATCAGAAATACGAACTTTTGAGATTCTCCTTCTGCAATTTACTAAAACATTCATAATTTGTCTACATTCTTAGTTTTCTAGTTTGGACTTTAACACAAGAATATTACTTTATTTTCTGATTTTCCATACTAAAGTATATTTCCATACCTATAACTTTCTTTTATCTTTTTTAGTTTCAGATCTTTCTTCTGATGTCCTGCTGTTCTTGCACACCAGAGGCCATGCCTTTTGGCACCTTCAACTTATTGCCTGACTGTTCAGACTCCTTACCATGTAACTAAATAAATGTGAGTACAGAATCTCTTTCATTCATTTTAACTCTGACAGACCAACTTCAATTGTAAGATTGTATGATTATCCAGAAAACCATTTAAAGGCCAGATAGTGACAGTGAAACAAGCCCATACTTATAGTGGCCCATTCAGCCAGTTTTAAGGGGCTATTAATAAGATCCATGTAATATGGCATACATCCTAAAGGGCTAGTAAAAGATATGAAAAGCAGATAAGCAAAGCAGAAACCAAAACCAAAGCTGACAAGTTTTTTAAAAAAAAAAATCTACATACAAATTTCTTCCTTAGCTTGGATAGTGAAGGGACACAGGGCAGGTGGAGGAGTGAGAGCCTTGCAGCTGTCTTAGATGCCTCTTTCCTCTCATTGTTGACATGATTTCCAGAGTCAAAAGTCCAAGAGTATTGACCTTGAGAGACCTAAATTCTAGTTAGAATATTGGAGGACTCTGGAGTTTAAATAAAATAATAGTATTTTATAATTCTGTATTTTTTTAGAACATGCGTGAACGTAAAATTTTAACCCTTAATCATCTTGCCCTTAATGAAGACCAGAAATAAAGCAATCCTATACTTTCCATTGAACAACAATTTATAAAAATCAGATTTACAATGTTTATCCCGTCTATGTTAAATCTGATTTATCTATTTTAACTTAGGTTACTCATGAAAATTAAATTTAGTTAACATTTTAAGTCATCTTTTTTGTTGATGAAAATTCTAGAAGAAGCAATGGACATTATACTTAAAACATTTAATAGAAAGTGATGTTTTTCATTGTCTGATCATTTGGGAAAAGAGTGTGGATTAGTGATTTTAATGACATCATTACCTTTATTTGTTTATCCATTTGAATTTGAACTTTTGAATCACATGAATCAAAGGTATTTGATCCATTTTTGAATTCTAGTTTATGAGCACTCAATATGTTGGTTTTGATACATATATACATGTAGACAAGCCAGTAAACAGAACAAAAAAGCAAAGGCCTTATAGTTTTTGTTTTTAATATTTGTTAAATTGTCAATGGACCTTTATTTATTAACTTATTTATATGTGGTGCTTAGAATTGAACCCAGTGCCTCACACATGCTAGACAAGTGCTCCACCACTCAGCCACAATCCCAGCCCAAGGCCTTATAGTTTTTAAAAATTTATTAGATTAAGAATCAACTCTTGTAAATTGGCCTCTGAATAAAGCAGAGTGTTAAAAAATATATATTTTTGATGGATAAAATTGGTCTGATCATAAATTTTAACTTAGGCACATAGAATCAAAATAATAATAAGTTCAAGGGGCTGGGGTTGTAGCTCAGTGGTAGAACTCTTGCCTAGAATATATGAGGCCCTGGGTTCAGACCTCACTCAGCACCACATAAAGATAAATAAATAAAATAAAGGTATTGTATCCATCTATAATTACAAAAATATGTATATTAAAATATAATGAGCTAAAAAGAATTTAAAAAACAAGTTTCCTAGAAAAAATGATATGGCCATGAATTATTTCAATAAAGCAACAGGAGAGAATGAGGAGAAAAAGAGGGAGAAAGAGAAAGGAGAGAGAGGGAGGGTGGAAATTTGAAGTTAAAGAGACATTCTTTTTTCCTTAGTCTTAGGTCCCCCTATTGAGCCTGCCATTTGCATTCCTGTGCTGGCTTCAGAGGGGTCTTGGCCAGGGAAATTGCTGCCTAGGGCTTTTAAACCTTATTTTTTTCCGGTTGGTAATTAGGCCAGGTTTGGATACAGAAAATTATAAAACATTATTTCCCATTACCTTTGAGGAATGAGGTTGTTACGTCATGCTATATTTGGTGATTGAGTGAAGGAAAAAAAGTTTGGAAGTAGGAACCTCACACAACCTTGTCATTTTGCAATAAGTAAATTCTTTTTTAAACTTTGGAGAATTTTTGATCAAAGGTTTCTTACTTGAGCCATTGGTGCAAGTTATCTGATTTATTTTGTGGCCAAATTTGAGAACTGAGCCTATTGGCATATTTAATTTGAGATCAGTATGGTAATAGAGTGTTTTAAAATTGGCAGAAAGAAAACCCAAGGGCTTGTTTGGGGGAATTGACTGAGTAGTCCCATCTTTGGAGAGGCTTGGGGAGGAGAGTAGAGGAGAGGATTAGATAAATATCATGTCAGGTGAGATCATAGGACTATGTCAGATATTGGATTTTTGGTGAAAGAATCAGGATATGTGGTACAGGATCTGAGGTGTTTTGGGTCTGGGAGAGGTCAGAGAGGGAGAAAGGGATATGGACTCTGATAATCCCCCCCATCCCACAATTTTCCTAAGGGAGAAAACAGGAATGGGCTGGGAAGATTGGGAGGGAAGCTGTCCATGACATCAGGTATGTGGAGGGCTAGGAAAATCCATATTGGGTGGGCGCTGGGGTGCAGAGTGCTAAGGATGGATATGGGCATTAGGTGGGGGTGACAGATAAGGAGGAGACTCCTTTACTGGATCAAAAGCTGGGAAAGCCTTAGTATCATGGGGTTGAGAATGGTCCTTAGAGGGCTTAGTGACCAGGAGAAGTTGAACAGGTGAACAGGAAGAGCACAGAGGGTTTAAACAAAGGAAAGAAAAGGCCAGAGCATGGATAAGTTTGAAGTTATCTAAGTCCCTAAGAATGTCAGGGTTGAAAGTGCCATTATGTGGCCTTTAGAGCCATTGTCTAAATCATAATGAGGCCATGCTTGGTTGCAGTAAAAAAAAAAAATGAGTTTGGTGCCTTTAGGTCTGGAGCCAAATGGAGAGGCTTACAATGAGTTACAGACACCCTAAAAGGGAGGAAGGGATGGGGGATTTTGATGGACTTTTAGGTGAGCCTAAAAACTAGGAAGAGGAGAGCTAAGCATCCTTGCATCTCTGAGTGCTAGTAGAATTAATGGAAGCAGCCCAGGGAGGTTCATCACTCATTTCTGAGAATCCCAGACTGGGCACCAGTGGAACCCTGTTCCAGAGGGATGTCCATGTGAAGGTCTAGATGCAGTGCTGGAGTTCCCACCATAAGAGAGAAAAAGTAGACTCCACACCCAAGAGAAGAGGAGACTCACCAGGGGATAATCCATCTGGGGATTAACCACCCAGTGTTGGATGAGTAGCTAGAGTGCTCTGAGGAGAGGAGAGGAGATTCCCTGAGAGATTTGAGCACTCTGTTTGGATTGGGGGTTCACCAAAGCAGATCCCCTGAGGGAGAATAGGATTTATGGTGACACTTTCTTGATTCTCGGCCAATACTAAAATGTTAGGACAGGGCTGGGGATGTGGCTCAAGTGGTAGCACGCTCGCCTAGCATGCATGCGGCCCGGGTTCGATCCTCAGCACCACATACAAAGATGTTGTGTCTGCTGAGAACTAAAAAATAAATATTAAAAAATTCTCTCTCTCTCTC